GCTGTTAAAGTAATTAATCGCAGAATATATATTGCTTAGACAATTGTGCTTGATAGCGTACAAGAATTTAGAGAGATGGTACTGTAGTGTAATGGTTTTTTCCCGGTCCCTCTTTATGGGGTCTTCTCCCCTTTTATACATTCTGATTAAGGGTAAAATAAGGTAGGTAAATTAATTACATCGTGGATCCCTGTAATTACGCCTTAATGGCCTGAAGTGGTTGAGAAAATCACGTTTGGGCGAGATATCCGGCGACGCTTGGTTATCCGTTACGAGTCCGGCTTCCGACCTTGTGTGTTTCTCCATCCGGTGGTGACTCATATCGAGCTCTGCAACGGTCTCGAAATGACTCGACCTCGGTTGTAGACGTGGCCGTCGTTCTACCTTGCATCCAGGTCGGGTTCGATGGCCCCGACTTGCCCCGGACCGGACCCAACCCGGTCGGGCTCAAGCAAAAAGGGTATCACCCAATACAGATAGTCCCCTCGTTTATTAGAGAGTAATGATAATAAACGATATGATCGGTGACGTGATGCCCGTGACGTATGGCCATACGCCAGGTGAAAAAGCCATCGAGTGCTCTGACCACGCCTGCTGCAGGCATTTAATGCTTCTCTTAATTATCTGTCGCTTCGTGTCTGTAACTTCGCGATTCGTGCCACCGCCTCATGGGAAAAGTATAAACGACCCTTCCAGGTTCAACATTCCTTATCTTTCTCAAATTTTGCGTTGGTTGTATTTTCTTTTCATCTCTTCGTAAAGCTTCAAGAAATGGCGAAAACTTCACAAAGTGTTCCTTCTAGACCAAGCTCGGCCGCGAGCCCCGCTAGATCTGATGAACCTGCACCAGAACCCCCATTGAAAGCTTTCACACCGACTGGTTGCTCGGTATCTGCCGACTTCCAGGTTGAAAACCCATCATCGGTCCCGGGCCGCGGCGAACCGGCATCGGAGTATATCAGTCTAATCACTCCCGGTTGCCTGGACCGGGTGAGGGCTGAATGTAGATGGGAGGGGAAAGACCTGGTCGCCCCTTCCCGTGACGAGTCGATTATGACTCATGTTGAAGGATATCTTAGTGTATATACATATCCCTTCACCTTAGGCCCCTTAGAACCCATTATAGTGGAGTTCTGCCGGCGGTACGAGGTGACCTTAGGTCAGATCCACCCTTCGATGTGGCGGATCGTATATCTCTTTCGGTTTTTCGTTGAGAGAGTCGAGGGCGATTTTCCCTTTACCCTCGACCATCTTCTTCGACTATACAGCCCCCGAATATTTCGAGGGGGATTAATAAAACTGGCCCGCCGGGCTAGCAAACCCCCATTCTCCAGCATCGATGAAGACAAAGATCGAGGCTGGATGAGCAGGTTTGTCCGGATCAGGACGTCCGACCTGATTCCGGCCGATTGCATGCCATTTCCGGAGAGGTGGAACCTCAAACGTAAGTATTTTCTCACTGTTCATCTTTTAGAGTGTGTTTTCCTCAACTTCTTCCTGAAACCCCCTTTTCTTGTGCAGCGGTGATCCAAACTCCAGCTGCCGTCAAGGATCTGGCCGGCTGGGTAAACAAGATAGTGGCCCAGCGGCCATATTCGGAGCGAAACTGGAAGGAAATCTCCAAAGGTCGGTGGGAGGCGAAAAACCATGGTAAGCCTTCTTTTTGACCGGTAGCGCACCAAGTTAACGCATTTTTTCTTGTATATCGGGAATGCATCCTAACCCTCGTGTTTTGCAGGCTTGCCCAAGGACGCGGAGATGAGGTCTTCAATACTATGCCCCCTTCCGGTTCCGGGAGAAAATAAAAGGCCCGGGGAGTCCGGTACGGACGAGCCTCAAAGGAAGACTAAGCGGACAAAAAGGGCCGCCCGCAAACCAAAAAGCCAAATCGTCTTGTCCTCCGAGGAAGAGGATGACAAAGAGGATGACGATGAGGAGCAGCCGGAGCTCGTCCGCCATCGATCCATTCGACCGGACCCTGAGCCGGTGGTCGATCCAGCTGAGGCTCCTCCCGAGGACGTGAGGGTTGAGGATGCTAGTGAACCCTCGGCCCCTGCGCGGGCGTCCCCGGGTACCGATCACCCGGTTACGTCCCCCCCGTCTTCCTCGACTTGGGGGCAGCTGCCGGACGACATCCCGATGATGGGAGGTAGCTTCGAGACCTTTTTTGATGGGGTACCCTCCGCCAACACTTTCGGGCTCGAAATCCCCCGGAAAGACCCTCAGGCCGAATCAAGTGGGACTTCGGCCGTCAACAAGCTTGTCGATAGGTTTCCAGCTCCGAGCCTGGACCCGGACTGTAACAGGATAGTAACTTTTGCTATCCCCAAAGACGTCCGGGCTCTGGGGCCCCCGGTCGGGGTTGCAAGCTATCTTCATCACCTGATGACGGAGGAAGACCGGGCTGCAACCGAGGCTGTAGATTGGACATGCCTTTTCAACGAAGCCCAGCAGGCGCAGCTCAAGGTATTTGCTTCTTCCTTTTATTTCTAACATTTTTGCCTTGTGACTCAGTACTGACTCTTTAGACTTTTTCTTTGCAGGCATGGGTGCTATATCACTCGATGTTCCTCCGGATCAAGGACAAAATGGAGGCGGAGCGAGAGGGGCGCCGGGTCCTTGAAGAGAAGCTGCTAGAAAGCCGGACCGGATTGGACCTTTTGAATAAAGAGCACGCGTCCTGTGCTATCCAGCTGGAGGAAGCAAAGAAAGAGCTCGGTTGTAAGCTAAGGGGGGTGCAAGCCGAGCTTAATCGGGTTAAGGCCGAGCTTGACGAGAGCAGAGCCGAACTTGATGAGAACAAAGCCGAACTGGAAGCCCGGGTGCAACAGTTGGAGTCGGAGAAGACTTCCCTTCGGGAAGAGGTTGCGGACTTGACGTTGGCCAATGAGGCTCGAGTCCTTGAAATTGAGCTATGGACCAATCGATTTCGGGAAGCTGAGGCTAAAGTTTCTCAGGCCGAGGAGACTGCCAACGATATGGTGGCCCAATATAGGGCCGATGCTGATGCGGCCAACCAGCAGTCAAGAATGTTAGCCGAATATGCGAAGTGTCAGGCCCGGCTTGAAGTTCTTACCGAACTCCAACGTCGCGGTTTCCATCTTGCATCGGGCGTCGCCAAAGCCGCCGAAGCTGAGGACGCTTCG